GGGTGGGGAGGGGGGGGGCGTGGTTACCACGACTCGGCACACGTATGGGACGGTTTTTTACGTTAGTCTGGTTGGGTCCGGGGTCTGGTCGTCAGTTTTTTTCCCCGTCTGTTTTATCGATGATGGGGACCCTTTGACCTTTTTTCGTTGTTCGTTTTACTACAAGCTTGTGGTTCAAGGGAGACCACACACTCTGCAAGGAGATGTCCATTGGGATGGTGCGTTTAGGCTTGCTTGTCCCCTTCAATGTTTTGCCTCCACTCCTTCTGTTTTCGAGTGCCGTATATGCATACGAGGCGGTTTGCTCCACAAGCAAGCGAAGAAACCCTTAAGCATTCGATTTTTCGCACCGACCGGTGGCCGTTGGGTGTATTTATTTTTGGTTTTATTTTAGACTCTAGTAAGCAAGCTTGTGTTCGTAGCTCGGCTTCGTTGCTCGGCTTCTTTTTCTTACGCACGAGGGTGTGGGTGCTAGTATTTCCCTCTTCGTGTGGTTTGCATTGCCTGGGCCGTCTTCTTCCGTGTGTTCTCTTCTTTCCTTCCGTTGCAGCGGTACGCACGACGTTCGTTCTTTTTTTAGCACGGGCGAGTGGTTCCGAGGCAAAACCCATGTGGCATGGAGATCGCAAGGTACCATTACCTGGTCCCACCCATCGGGCAACGGCTTCTCTCGACACGAATTTCCAGAAAGTGCCGGCGGGGCCCCAAAATTTTTTGTTTTTCGAAGAATTCACCGTGTTCGTAGGCGAGAGAGGCAGGCGTGTTTGATTGCAAATGAGCTGGGTTAATTTATGTATATTTGAAAAAAAGAAATGATGTCACGGCTCGAATAAATGCGAGCTCGAGAGGTCGGGGGGGGGGCGGGGGGGGTAACTGGCAGGTGGAATGAAGTACATATGGCGAAACACTGCGCAATGGCGATAGTGACAGAAATTTACGTCGGTAGGAGTAGGAGATCGGGGTGGAAGGGGGGACGGGAGTACTGTCCATGGGGTCTTTTTAGCAGTATTGCATCCATCCATTTGTACCTGAGGCGCACAGAGCGATATCAGTAGTAGTAGTTGATTAAGAAGGGATCAATCAACAATGGCAAGGTGGGTACACGGAACCCCATGTAGGCAATGAATGTACACTAACCCTTGCGGCAGGTAGTACTCCGAGGAGAAGATTTTTCGTGTGAGAGGTGAACATCGGTTCGTTGGCCGTTGTTGTTGTTCAATCTGGGAAAGCAAGCAGTGTTGGTACAACCAATCAGTGTCGTCAGGCAAACTGCAGACAAGATGTCACGAGTCAGGCGGGCGGTTGAGCCGCCTAATAGAGTAGTTAGGTTGTCGTGCATGAAGAGAGTTTTTCGCGGCCGGCCTCGGCGGGCTCTTCTCATTCAAAAACTGTCTAGACTAGGCTATAGTGTTTGTTATCGCGAGGGAGCGAGTCTCCCCACACCTCGGGACGACAAGTCTTTTTGCTAGTTTTTGTTTTGTTTACGCTCGGCGCAAAAGGTTTTGCGAGCCTTGCGTGGGGGTGTGGTGGTGTGATGTGGCGAGCGGCCGTGGATGCATGTAAGGGTGATGGGAGGGTCTGTTCTAGTTCGGGCGCCGTTTAGCTCATTGCTGGAGTGGGAGTGCAGCAGTACTATTACGCTGTATAGGTCAGAGAGAGAGACGGGTTGTTGTGTTGTACCAGCAGCCGTCAAAGTTTTAAATTTCCCGAACCCACCCATCCATCTGCCCATGCGTTGCCCCACCCGTCCCACATCCTCTCACCCGACGTGGGTCAACACAAAGGAAAAAGCTGGAACCTCGGGGGGCTATTGTGCATTTGTATGTAACAGCACCAAGCACATCTCGCAAAAGCCGCCGCCCCATTCATGGTCCTGTACTATGCTATCTATCGTTATTACTGTTGAGGCTTTTTTTACGACGTGCAATGAGCCACGCTGGCTCGTTCGGCCTCATGGGAAGGGGTACAACATCGCCGTGTTTCGGGACGCTCAATAACTACACTTGGGGGGGGGGGCAGTAGCCACGGTTGCATCCCGCGATCTCACGGAGCTGGTCACCATGTCTTGTCCCTCTGTCATAGGTAAACCGGCTGTCCCGCATTAGATGCAAGCCCGTGATCGGTTTGCGGTGAAATGAATGCCAAAGCTGTGTGCAGCGCCGATTGAACACCCATTCATTAAATTTTTGTTTTTACTCAAAAGTTAAGACAAATAATTCTCTTCGCTGGGGTCATTCTATCTACGAAAACTACATCGACACCCACGGCAATAATAGCGCAATCAACGGCCGTCCCTCAGCCGTTCGCGACAACGTGCATCCGGAACGGAATTTAATCGTTCCGTTTCGTCAACCGGTTCTTCATCCAACCCTCTCGGAAAACACCAATCTGGTTCCCTACAGCCCGCTATCCACACCGTGCGCCTTCCACCAACGAAATCAATTGTTGTAGATGGTCAAGACACCTGCCCACCACCTCTACATAGTCACGTGTATCTCGGTCTGCTTCTCGCCTTCTTTTGTTCGAAGCCGCATATCTAAGAGTGGAACTTCAAAACTTGGCGGCCTTAGGTGTGGTAGTAGCATTCACACCACTTGCGCCCAGCTGCTGACTACCAAGCAGGCAGCGTGGGTCTTCAATACGGCAGGGCAGCCGAAATCTTTTGGCAACGATTTAATAATCAACCGCTGTTCTTGACTTACCTTGAATAGGGCCGGTCGCCCACGTTCCGGCGGGTGAGGCGGCCTGGTACATACCCGCCCTACAGAGGGTCCGCAAGGTGTGCCGGTTCTGCGTCCGGCCGTGCGCTTTTACTTAGGACTCTCGGCAAAAAAAAAAAAATGTCGAAAGTCTTTTCATTTGCCGTGAAGTTCTTCAAAAGCATAGCTGTGGCCCCCCAGCTATATATCCCCCCTGCTTGCTTGGCCGCTGTATCGTCCCCGTCTTTCTAAAACAACAGAACACTAAATATACGAAGACACACCTTTCATCTTCAAGAGAGAGAGAGAGAGAGAGAGAAAACACCAGAAAAAACGGAAGAAAAAAAGCACTACACCAAGAAACGGAGACAACGCACGAACAGCTTGGTCACCACCCTAACTCAGCCCCCAACACCACCAACACAAAATCGCTACAACCTTAGACCCCGTGTCTTTCGCCGCCTCCACCCCACCCCCCCCCCCCTCTTCCCGTATTCACGCCTCGCGCTGGAACACCCGTAGCTCTCCGAAACGCCCGCGGCTGACGCGGACATCTTGGTCGAGGTACGTGGTGTCGAACCGACCAGCCGCCGCCTTGGCCAGGGGCTGCAGCGCTGGGAGGGCGAGCGACCGCTTAGCTGCGTCCTCCGCGTTCATGAGCTTGAGCTCCTTCTGCACCAGCTCGATCTGCCCGAGACGCAAAGAAGAGACAAAGAAGGGCACACAGCAGGGGAATGCCGACATGAGTCTTCACGGCAATTTTAAGCGTTGGGTCCCTGCAGGAGCTGTAACCGTGCTTGTACCACAGACGTGGAATGTCAGTTTTAGACAACGCAAAGAGAGAATGGGGGGAAGAATCACGCGCGTGGCCGATTTTTTGTTTCTTCTTGCAGCTGCTCGAAATCCGGTGGGCACGGTCACGTGTCTCTCTAGCCTAGAACCACAAAGCGGGTAGTCGAAAACTTGCTGCGCGAAGACACTCGTGAGAGGGCGGCCGAACTACGAAGCAAATTTTCGACACTTGTGTCCGAGAAAACGGTGAGCATACAAATACCCACTTTTGTCTATTTCCAAAATATTATGCCCATTGCCAGTACATTGCTCGAGATTTTCGAGTTGCGAGCGCCGTATGCCTGTGGACGAAGGCTAAGGCTTGGCTTTGCACCTACAGGTACCTACAGCAGCTACCGAGGTTTGGCGCGCTGCGCAGAACGACGCCGCCTCTGTTCGAGCACATTGCGCCATGTCCTGCACCCACGAGTGTGCTTCCGGCAAGGATAGGCTCGTCGTAACATAAGCCCTAGTGTAATCAAACGCTTTACCACGGCCCAAAACCAGCGCTGCTACCAACACTGGTCCATGGTTACCTTCTACTTTGGTTCTCGCGGCCACCTAGAGGTGCGTATCAGTCCCCTTCCCAAACAAACCGAGCAGTGAAACATGCACAAAACGTCTCGCGCGACATCTGTTGCATAGCCATATTGAATGCATACACAAGATACACAAGATAATACCCCCCCGGTCATAACATTGTTGGTTTCAAGAAAACAAAATCGCCGGGGGTGTGATACCTTCGGTGACCCTATGTATATGTACGTGCTACATAGGCTCATGTTGAGCCGCAAACATATGACCGCCGGATGTGGTACTCTGTGGCAGGGGGGGGGTATCTTATGTGGGGGTGTTCTCTTGCGTGGAATGATTAATACATCAACACGGCATGCAGCCTGTTGTGTACACAACACACTTCAACGACAGTCTATTTTCACCTGCGCCGGCTTGGACTGCGAGGACACCTCGAAGTTATGTTGTATGTTAAAGTTCACCGGAAACGTGACCCGGTCCTCCACGGTCCTCGCGATCTCCGCCGCGCGCTCCCCCAGCCTGCCCCACGTCTCCGAGAACAGCGGCGGGGACATGGTCGCGTATACCACGTTGCTCACCAGCCCGGCGGCCGAGTCCACCACCTGGTACACGTCCCGCAGCTCCACGGGGGACAGCCTGCCGAGACCGACCAGGTTGTTCGTGAACACCAGCCTCCACCGGCCGTCCAGCTTACCCAGGTCCCTGGGGAACTGCACCTCCGTGCCCTGCCCCGAGGACGTCTCGAGCTCCACTACCAGCTCCTCGATCGCGCTCTTGTCCGCCTCCGAGTAGGGGATGTAGCCTTCGCCGACTCCCGAGAGGACGGTCTGCAGCAGCTCGTTGGCGAGACTGAACCCCCCGCTGGCGGGGGGCGTAGAGGAGGAGGCGTCGGGGGAGACGTCGGAAGGGAAGGCGTCGACCGCATCTGCTGGTGACGAGGAGGATGATCTTAGGGGAGACGCGCTGCTGGGCCTGTGGTGAGCGTGTGACGCTGGAAGCGAACGTGACACCAGGAGGGGGAGGGGGGGGGTGTACTCATGTAAGCGCATGCCGCAGTCGTTAGACGATTGACCTCGCATCCCTGCAATTCCGGGACGGAGCGATATGCCTTTCGGGTTTTCGCCGGCCCAGGCCACGTCTCACAAGCATGAACCAGAAGCTGGTCAACGCCTGCTGTGTGTGACCAGAAATACATCTTTCACGGCAGTAGCGGACGCTTTTTCGCATGAGCTGGAAACGTCAACAGGGTTAACTGGGATTGCAGCACCACAGCACCACCCTCTCGCACAATCTCCTCCCATCCCCCATCCTGGAAAGCGAGCAGATAAGACTCCGCCGCCCCTCTACCGCCGTGTACCCTTCCGTGTCTTGTTCCAAACTATTTGTAGAAAGTTAACATCCTCACAGAAGACTAGACTACCCGTTCGAGATATGGGTTCATTGTATACTGAGTAAACTATTTTCTCTTTGCGTGACTTATATATAGCAGTATCTGTGTGACCCTGGATGGTTGTATTTGTACGAAAAAATACACTGAAAAGTGTAGTACCTACACTGAAAGTCCCCGTCTCACCACGAAAAATGGGAGGACTGTCGCCAAAATAAACAGGACGAAAACACACACAAACACGCTCATCGTTGCTATCGCAAACCACTTGGCGTACTAAGCTTTTTGCCGGGGGAATTTTGACGACGAAAGAGCCTTGGTTCGCTTGAAAGCTTTCCACACTAACAGGATTCGGAGATGGTTTATCTTCGAGCTGTTTATCTCGTTTTCTGTCGGTGCGAACTCGCGATGCGTTCAAACGTCATGGGCAACTGAGCGACCAACTTCCACCACGGCCAATCGGTTGGGATCTCTGCGACAACGATAGTAATGAGGGTAATTCTGTTGGGAGTGATGGAGACGAAGGAAATGGAAAGGGGAGACAGGAGGACGAAGACTACGATGGAGAGGAAAACATGGGGGAGTGGAAGAGAGCAAAGGGGTTGACCCAGGTGACCTTCCCCACAACATAAAGACGCAGGACTAGGGAAGAACTGCGAAAAGATTGCTGTGAAAAGGATGATGAACATGATGGTAGCGATAGCAAGGAAGAAAATGGTGAAAGCACTCCAACACGAACTCGAGTGCAAGGTAACAGCCTTGGTAGACGCGTGCAGTTTTCTTCTGTTGCTACCGCTTCTGTCTTTGATCCGGCGGATAGATTAGCCTCCCCCATGCTGCCCCCTCACGGGGTCCCAGTTCATGGCAGATAGAAGTGTTTTGTATTTTCAACCGCACTTAGACTGACGTCTTTTCATTGGTCAGCCGGTTAGCGCGGTCGATGCTAATAATAAAGACACAAACACACTGCTGTAGTGCACACCTCGCGTATCGCCCTGTATTCTCCCCGTCCCCTTTTCCCAGAACACAGGGTCTTTCGATATGAGGCAGACCCCGTGGGAGCCAACCAGGGATCATGAGCACAGCACACACCTCGATAGCGAAAGCAGTAGTCTCTTCTTCCAGCACAACACCCCCATTGTAGATAGGAGTTGATATGGCCATACGTAAAACCTACTTCTATAGTCTACACCTTTCTCAAAGCAGTTACGTTGCCTATTGCCTGCAATCCCAATGCGTCGTCTGGACAAAATGAAATCCAGCCTATATCATGTGAGCGTGGCTGCAGGGAACCTCTCGCCTCAGGCAGACCTCTGTAAGCTAATGATGTCTACTACCCCGACTCAGAAAATCTGTCGCGATAGCTGTCGATGAAGGGTGCAAGCTACAGCGGTACGTCTAATTACGCTGGTTCACACGTTCGTTCTATCGTTCACACGCTGGTTCAACTGGTGGGTGTCCGCCTGATGGGCTGTTCATGCTATTCACGTATCTCTTCGATCCTCATCACACTTGACGCTGTGCGGCATGACAAACCGTTTTCACGAGAGAGGACGATGTGTGGGTGCGCGCGTGTGCAGTATCAAGGAACCATACCCCAGCCCAGCAAACCGCTGTGCCTTCCAACTGCTCTTGCGCCTACAGCGTGCTCAGGGATTTTGAGGGTCACCCCGAGCAAACAGCAGTAGCGGAATTTGCGATGCTGCGATGCTCCGGTTCAGCTGCTGCTCATACTAAATATGCTCTCACCTCGAACACCATCCCGGCAGCTCACTAGAGCAGGCACGAAAGCGCCACACGTGTTGACAGTTGCTGCAAGCGCAGCGAGGCAAGCTTGCAACTTCATTCCTTGTGCAGTGAGGGTTGTATATCTGTTTTGTGGGGTGAGGAACGCAGACGATTGGGAGCAAGGCAAAGGAGCACAGCAGGCAGCAAGCAGCAAGCTGGGAGGGGCCCGAAAACAGTACAACAAGCGCTGGATTGTGGATGGGGTATACTGCTGTAGCATGATGACGCCAATTTGTGAACCCCCGGCTTGCCCTCTTTGCCCTCTTGTCCTTGTGCCCTTTGCCTTGATACCCCAAGGCCAGCTCGCCTCTCTGCCCTGCTCTCTCACCCTCACCCTCTCGCTATTACCTCTTTGATGAGGGAAGGAGGAACTCCAACCAATTCAGGTATGGCATATGTTGGAAACAGCGAGTCACGTAGACTTCAGAGTAGAGCGGATGTGTAAACAAGTTCTCATTCGCGCATGTATGATACTCAGAAACCGAATTGACGCGACAGCAGTAGTGCTGGACACAGGTGAAGAAAATGTGGGTGCCACAATCCGGTGTGACAACAGCATCGACGCATGACGGTACTCACGGTCCATCTGGGTCTTAATTAAGGAATAATAAAAACACACACAGTAACTTGTACAGGAGTCGGTAGCACGGTGAACGAACAACTGGCTTCGGGGAAATCCAAATTCCGCCGCGTTTTGGTCTCAGGTGGAATTAAGGAATTAAGGAATAATAAAAACACACACAGAAAGACTACCCATTCGAGATATACCCACAGTCGAACGGGATGTGGTGGAGTCTTTTCAGTGAGTGGAGGGAAAACGGCTGGGTACTAAGGAATAATAAAAACACACACAGAAGACTACAATACCCATTCGAGATATACCCGCAGTCGAACGGCATGTGGTGGAGTCTTTTCAGTGAGTGAAGGGAAACCGGCTGGGTACTGGACTTATTTCCGAGTCTTTTAAAGTCTATACACTGATGATTTATACCAGTGATGCCAGCTGGTGCTAAGTACAAAAACATCTGTATAGGTAACTTACATTTTACAATACATCCCCTCTAGTTCTCTACTGGGTCAACGACAAAATATCGGGGAGAAACCCTCCGTTGTGTCGTGTATTGTAAAATGTAACCTTCACAGGGGACACGGCGCAGTGTCTATTGACAGCTTGCTGGTTTATTAGACATATTAGGAATAATATTGTAAAAATCATGGAAGGTGGACGAAGTCCACAGCAGTACATCACCAGCCCTACATCACTCGTTTTTCAAATCTACAGATTTTTGAATTTCACGGACAGCAGGTGTTTCCCGCCGTTTTTTTGAATTTACAAATCGTTTTTGATCCTTTGGGGTAACGTATCAGGGATGTTTATACAGCAGTAGATGAGAATGGTATACCTGGTGCATGGTAGGTAGGGCATACCATTCAGGTTGTATCATGTTAGCTTGTTTCTTGTTATGTTGGGTGTTGGTAAACACCATCAGTAGAGCATGGAAAGTTTCCAAATGATATACATCCAATGTGGTGGTTGTTGTCAACTTCCCTGGTGTTTCTCAAAGCGGTTTGTCGAGATATCTTGTCGCAACCATGTCGTAATCACGTCGTAGAGCATCCGTCATGAAGGTCAGCAGCAGCAGCGAGTAGCAGTTGGTCTCTCCGTGTGGAGCAGTGGTGTGGACATGTTACGGAGTGGCGAAGGATACAACACGTAGAAATTACCCACCTGGATGTACAGCGATCAGCAGCGAAGACGATGTGTGTCAGCCACGAGGTCAATATGGGAGAGCACCTTAGCACGAAACCCGATACAGCCTTCCCGCCTTGCCTCAAGTCCTATCGGAGGGGCTATATATGTGGTACCACGGCAGGGATCCGAATGCCGGCTGCTCCGAACACAATGGGAGGCTTGCGGTAGGGATCAAACTGGGAATGTGCGAAAGGGGCTTCCCGACCATGGGCTCAACTGTAGATTTGGAGGCCGTCGAGGTGTTGTATTTTCACCTGGTCATGTGACGTCATTGGGTCTAAGTTTTAGAAGAAACTTCACTGGGTCATATGACGTCATTTGGGATCCGAGATTAGAAGAATTTGGTTACAGCAATGATATTTTGCAAGGGACACGGGTCACTGTGTTCCCCCTTGCTAATGGAAAATTAGGCAACTCGTTGCCGTTCTTATCCATCATTCATTGTTCTATTGTCAAGTGTTATCCATTACTCTATTGTCGAGTGTCCCAGTTGTGATGTTTAAAGTTTTATTTCCTCGGGATGTCCTACAAGAATTCATCCACACTGCGCGTCCTTTCTTGCAAGGAGTACCTAATAAAACTGTGAGCTCCATTCAACTGTCCTCATGTCTCTAATAGCACATTCAAATCAATCATCACATCCTAATTGATACCACAGTGGAATGATGCTGATCATGTACTTAGGTTTGAAAACCGGCTCAAACGGTGTATCCAGTTACCACAGGGGAGATATCGCTGTGTGCTGCTCGAGAAACCGTGGAAATACAAGCAGCTTCCTCTGACGCTATGAATTCATTGCTCATCTATCTTAGACTCTTTTCCTAGACTGAGATGGATTCGTTGGGTCATATTTCGAAAACCAAACTGTCTTGTTGAGCCTGTTACCCACAGGGGAGATGTCCCTATATGCTGTCTGGGAAACCGTAGACATACAGACATACAGGTACTTTCTGACGCTATGAATTCATTGCTAATCTGTCTCAGACTCTTTTCTATGATAGAGATGGATTCGTTGTGTCATATTAAGAAAAAAAAAAAAAAGGCTCAAACGGCGTATCCAGTAGGTACACTGCCGAAAATACTTCAACACACCCCTTCGATGGACGTGTTACAGTATCTCGGACGGGTACTCACTCTGTGTCTGTGGGTACTGTATGTATACATGTTCTAAATGTAAAGTGCAGCAAATAGCATGGCCCTCCTTGGCCTGTCGCCACGGAAGCCCTCCTACAACCCTCCGACGCCGCCTACTATTTGGACTACTGCTGGTGCGTTTGTAGGGCCCGTTCGGGTAGTTGCAACACCCAATTAGGACGACCCGAACCCCAAGTATTGTTGTTGCTGTACAAGAGCTTGTGGCGTTTCGACGTTTTTTGCACAACCCAGACGCCGAATCAAGGTTTTAGCAACACCGAATGCGGGGGAATCGCTCCCTCGAGGTGACGTGGTTACCAAGTAGGTACAAGTAGAGCAATGGACCATGTGCACCACACGGAAGCTATAGCAAAGTATCATACACCTTCGGGAAGCTAAAGCATCAGCAGGTGGTGGCAGTCGTCCAAGGCTCATCCTTAATCTTGCTCTACAACTTTTGTTTGGGCTGCTGTCTAGCTGCACACCACCGGCCGCTGGTTTTCGGCACCGCACATTTTGTGGAAACAACTTCCACAGCAACCCACCTCGCGCGACACTTGACACGCTCAAAGAATCATTACAGTATTGTTCCGGGAGCAGACAGTTGGCGATGCGTGTGGGTGCCGCACGGCCAGTTTTCCAATGAATCGTATTCGGTCCAGTCACCGGTAACGCCAACATGATGTCAACTCATCATGGGGGGTGCTATATGGCGTGCAGTTCGGGTGCTCGAATCTGCAATGCTCAATTGCCTTTGCCATTGTTTTTTTCTCCACCCAATACGGAGGCCGCAAGGTGGTTAAGTTGGTAACCTCGCAACCTTCTGACGTTTGGCCGTGGGTTGGAATCCCGGTGCAGGCACACGAAGCGGGGTTTTCTCACAACATGGCCAAACAACGTGGAAGAGACGCCCTCGTGTGTACTGCTGTACGCCAAAACACTGGACGCTACGGTCGACGAGGGAATGGAACGGCCGAGTCCTTTTCGCAAAAAGAATCAATGCAAACACAGCAGAAGGAAGGCGGGGAAGCCACTTCGGTGGTCTCCCTTCCTCCTGTGTGGCTGGCCCCGGCTGGTGCGTCCAGAAATTGTACCGAAAGGTGTTCGGCCCGACGTCCAGATACACATGATGAGAAAAAGGATTACAAAATATATTTATCTCCCCGCTTGTGTCCGTTCAGCAAATGCCTCATCGTAGTTTTTTTTGTTGCTAAAATCACAGTCCTTCTTACGCGGTACCCCCCTCCTCAACCTTTGGGTTTACGAAGGCGGATACATGTGTGGCAGTTTTTGATGTCACTGTTTAACGTTAGAAAACTAAAACTGGCACACATGTAAAGGCCTTGTTCAACCCAAGCTGAGGGAGGGTCCCGGGGGCCGAAGGGTGTGGTTAGCCAAGAAGAAAAAAAACGATGAATCCTTTCGCTGTCCGGACAGGCGGGACTTAGGAATTGAGTGAAGCAAAAAACAAAGGCAAAAGCAATTGATTTTTGCGGAATCGCAGTACGCGAGTTGGGACTGCGCCCCTCTTGCACCCCTCATGATTAACTGACCTCGTGTTGACGTTACCCCTGACCTGACCGCATGTGTCACACGGGCCGTTAGGCACCGACACGCATCACCCGTTGCCCATAGCTGGGAAATTGGAAATTACAATGATTCTGTGATCGTGCCAAGGTTTCGCACTAGGTGGGTTGATGTTGTTCTTGGTTCCGACAATGTGCGATGTGGAAAGCCGAAAGCCAGTCATGTGCAGCGGGACAGTCCAAACAAATGCGAAACAGTAGGACAAGGCTGAGGATGAGGCTTGGACCACTGTCACCACCTGCTCATACTTAGCTTGGTGTTTGTGGTGATAAATTACATGGTTACAGCTTTCCTGCGGATCACATGGTCTATCCCTCTGTACTACACATAATTGGTGACAACGTCACCTCGAGGCAGCGATTCTGCCGCACCTAGGTGCTACTGAACCTCGATTCGGCATTTGGGATGTACAAAATACCGTTGAATGAAACGGCACAAGCTCTTCTTCTCATTCACCGTAACCCTATTCGGGTCCTCCTAATAGTTGGCTGTTCATTTTGGGAACGGTAAAGCATGCCCGTACGGGACGTATCTCCAATCGTGGTCCCGGAAGGGCTTCTCGCCGCCGCGAAGCGCCCCAACCTTCTGTACGCGGTGTTTCTCTTGCAGTGAGTGAGGTGTAGGGCGAGGAAGGTTCCTGGTGCTTTGTGCCCGCTCGAGCGTGCTCCAGAGCTCCACCTTCTGCTCTCTGTTGTGTCGATACGCCACGGAGGTGGTCCCCACCCCACCCATCCCAGAAAAAAAAAAATCCGGAAAGAATGCCGGAATTTCTTGTCCACCGCCTGGGCGAACGGCTACAAGCAGTGCGTTCTTCCCTTGTTAACTCACAACCATCCCGCCCGCTGTGTTACCCCAAGTCACCTCTCACCCGCCTACATGAATATCCGTGGTCCTTTCTCTGTCGTGCTTTTTAGGATACACACGGCGGGATGGCGGAATTCGCCCGGACAGCGAGATTGCAAGGCGACGACAGCAGCGGAGAAGGGGCCATGGCGGAAGGGCTGGCGACGGCGTTCCAGTGCTTCCAGGACGGGATGGGGGAGAAGCTGGTCTCTCTAGCCCAGGAGCAGTCGGCGCTGTTGTCGAAGCTCGAGGCCTCTCGAGAGGTGAAGGGACTTCTTGAACGTGTCTTGTGAATAGTGCCGAAGAGAGGGGATACAGGGACAGATACCGTAAGAGGCGGAGAGATAGCACCCCCTTTACGCGGACTTTGAAAGCTCCATTGCTCCACAAGCAAGTGGGTGCCGAAAGAGACCGATATGTCTACGGAGAGCCCTCGACGAGAAGCTTCAAGAACCACCATTGTTGGTGTTGGCACAATCGCTTGGTTGTGGAGCAGTCGAGCTTTGAAAATCGGTCTAGGGGGGGTGCCATCTATCCGCCTCTTGCGGAATACCACGGTACGGTATACGGTACGGTACAGACAATCTTGGTTGTGGAGCAATCGAGCTTTGAACAGCAGTCTAGGGGGGGTGCCATCTATCCATCTCTTGCGGAATACCACGGTACGGTATACGGTACGGTACAGACAATCTTGGTTGTGGAGCTCGCTCGCGACCGCTGTCTTCCTCCCTCCCTCCCCCCCCTCCTCATCTCTCTTTCTCTTTCCCTCTCCGGTCTTGATTGGCACGTTCAACGTGACTGATTGTGAAACGACAGGCCCTGCCGGTGTCTTCCACCGGACGTACGCGAGATCGTAGCGGGCGCGCCGAGTACAACGAAGACGTTGAGTTCATCGCCAAGGTCATGTCCCAGGCCCCGTGGTACGCCCAACGTGTGCGGGCGCTCGCCCAGCAAAAGGTGACCAGAGAAAGCTTAGAGGATAGAGCTTTGGGGGGGGGGGGGTTCGTGTGCTACCAGGGTTAACAGTTTGGAAGTTTGTTTTATATACAATGTATAGGAGTATCGAGGATAGTCCGGTGCAAAAGGAGCGGGAAGGGGGCGGTGCGGCTATTTGCGCCATTTTGGAGCATGATTGGCGGCCGCTCCCGCGCCCCCTCTCGCGCGGCTCTCATGGCGCCGTCCATTTCTTCGTGTTGCGTTGACACTCTGTCTTAGTGCACTTTCTATGGGTTTCACTGTGTGTTGTTGCTATAGTGCTACCGTCGACGCGCAAAGTCCTAACGCATCGCAATTCATGGCATTGGTGTCCGCGTCCTTCAGGCATCGCTAGATGCGCGGTTGGTCCACCTCCAGCGAAGAAGCACCGGGCTGAGGGAGTCTCTGCCCGTACCGATGCAGCGTCACCTAGCCGAACGGCTAGAAGCGTCTAGCATGGCCCCGTTTCGGGAACAGGTGAGGTCCGTGTGTACAACACTTGTAGCCGAACAGAAATTGGACGGCATTACGTTGTTCCCTTGTCCTCATTATTGTTGTTGTTGTTGTTGATAGTGCTGTCGTATAATAGGTGTGTTGTGCACATATCACCCCCCCTTTGTTAACTTTTTTTTTTTGGGTCGTTTTTCCGAAGGGCGTTTCTGGGAGCCGAGCTACCCTTGCCCCCCCCCCCCCCCCGGCGTAAGTCATTCGACCCACCCCTGCCAACCTATGTATGTAACCCCGTTTGTTTCCTTCGTCTCTCCGGCGGTTTCAGACAGATATGGCGTTCGTGACGTGCTACCAAGGGGGTGTCGCCATAAGAACGGCGCCGAGCCTCGATGCGCCATGCGCGGGGGATATTTTGCAATGGAACGAGGCGAGTGGAGTCAGTCCTTTCTCCCTGGGACAGCTTTGACACGTGGGGTGTGCGTTTGGGTAGACCGGCTGTTGGCATTTTGAGGTGACGTTTCGTACAGGGCTGAAACCGTGTTTCTGTATTCGGCACCCGTTGCCAAGGGGCGCGCGGTGCGGGTAGTTCCAGAGGCAGGCAATGTTAAGATATGTACGTGTCTGATGATGATAGAAAATACTCAGCTGAGTCTGGCGAATGTGTCGCTCATGCAAACAGCAGCGGTATGCTGATACACACTCAAAACACGCTCAGATCGAGGTGAAGCTACTGGTAGTTAAACCAGTGTACGAAAACCCATTGGTGATGGTTTTAAAAGTCGTATTATTATGATGTGAGCATTGCTCAGGCTACAGCTTAAGTGCTAAGGTAGGAGAGGGAAAGTTGGGAGTGAGCTCGTTGGGCGAGCTCGTCCCCTGTCTGTCTAGAAACTCCCAAACCCAAAGACTGGTCCGGAAACGTCCGGAGTCCTATGTACCTTTCTACTTGGTCGGGCAACAGTTCTGGAACTACGCTTACGCCGTTCTACTTGGGTGTACTCAAATTTCCGTTCCTGCCAACACATGTTGTTCCTCTCAACGTTCTTGAGAACCGACCCAGGAAACTCAGAAACTTTTTGAAATATTCCTTGGGCGAAATATGCATTTTACCAAGTAGGTAGACTCTCCGCATACGTTACGTTTTACTCCACACGATGGATCATTGCATACAGCAACCATACAGCGTATTCAAGCATACTGTAACCAAGAGTGTTACTGCTGTGTATCTCAACAAACAAGCTGCTTCAGAGCCCACCTAGTCAGTCCGTAGGTTCGAAGTTGCGAGGTTTGGCCAATGATTGGGATGACGAAAATGGGAAGTAGCCCCCCAGGCGCGGCCTCCCCAAGGTTGAATGTGAAGGGGGAGGACGCGCCACCAAGCTCCCACGGAGTAGACAGGAAGATATGTATTAGTCTATGTTAGAAGTGAGTACCGTATATGACACAAGATAACACACCCCCTTGGCCGATTTTCAAAGCTCGATTTCTCAACAGCAGGAAGAGTCACGGCGCCGAAAACGGCAGCGTTGGAATCGTCTCGTCGAGAAATTTTCGAAAATGTATCGTTTTGTTTGTGCATCCTCTTCGTCGTGGAGTAATCGAGCTTTGGAAATCGGTCCAGGGGGTGTGTTATCTTGTGTCATATACGGTAGCCCCCCCCACACTGTACCGTCATCATCTAGAGATCCTACGATCCAAGCTGCTGTACAAGGTGTCAGCCCTTACTCCGGAAGGAATTATTCTGCCCCCATCAACCCGCCCACCCACTGCTTGTACGTCGTCTCCCGTTCATACCAATGACGCCACGCGGGTAACCACGAAAATCCTCCATTTCCGCAGGTCTTTTGGGCTTCCGAGCGACTAGGGCGGTTAGGGGAGGACATGATCTACGTAAAGCTGAGGGACGGGCGGGGGTGGGTTTTCGAGACCCTCCACGGCAAGAAAGTGCTGGAGCGGGTAGCCCTGTCATCGATGGAAGATATTGGAGATGCTGACCCAGCTGCAAGCGGCAGTAGTAGTAGCAGTGTCTTAAAAGGAAAGGACCGATGACTCGTTGTCATCAGATCCACTACAAGGATGTGGACAGTACCATCCTGCGCGCGGAAAGCTCTGTCTGTCTTGGATGGCCTCGTCGGGGCAACGGCTCTGGAGATGTTTGATGCCTGATGTTTGGAACACAGACCCAAGGGGGAACGTTAAGGTGCCGGTGGTGTGACAAGGTAGCGGCAGGAGTAGAAGAGCCGCTGCTGGAGAATGAGTCGGGTCATACGAGTAGAAACTAGGGCCCGCACTCCAGATAACAAAAACAATGTGATGAAAAAGAGAAAACATTGGGCGCAGGTTTCGCGAATCGTTTGAACATGCAACGAGTAGAAACTAGGGCCCGCACTCCAGATAACAAAAACAATGTGATGAAAAAAAGAGAAAACATTGGGCGCAGGTTTCGCGAATCGTTTGAACATGGGGCTAAGAAACGTACCTGAGGGACAGGATAAGAAACATACCTGGTGTTCCTGGTATGAAGAACCTCGTGTTCCTGCAAACCATGTTTGGGGTACGCCGCGGTTGGCATGATGCACGGAGCCCCTGACCAACCCTCAGCTTGGACTGCATGATCATAACGACGCCGCCTCGCGTTGTTTTTTTTCGCGTACGATACGAGGGAGGGCACGCACCAGAACACGAGAATAACGAGCTGATGTTTTTCTTGTTGTGCAGGTAAAGATTGTGCCTCGTCGTTCGGGACACGACTAATAATACCCTGATAGTACCGTGGCGATTCTCGATTTCGGGGTTTCGCGTGCGTCCACGTTTGTTTGTTTCCGTATATAATAAATAGTCGCAAAATCAGTGTCAATCATGCATTTTGTGTGTATTGCAAAAAAAGTTCACAGCACACCCTTTCTTGCGTTTTCTGCTGTTCGCATTCATCATCCTCATGCCGCTGCTTGAAAAAAAATGGTACATACACAGTGCCGTCAACGTCTGACTTGCGTCCATCGGGGGTCGGTCCCTCCCCGCTTCGGTGCTCAAACCCCGAGCACAACACAAAAAAAGGAAATAACAGCTTGGGACCAGCACTGCCGAAGGTAATCGCCGGCTTGATGTACCAAGCCAAATCAAGAAGAACAGGCGCATGCAACTGACACAAGCAAACACGAACCCAACATCCTCACACTAGCAAAACATCTTCTTCACTCCGACGCATCAGGCATGATCTTTGCCAAAATACATATCCAAACACGTAAAATTAATAGTCTACATGCGCAATTACCAAGGGGGTGATTTCGACGTCCCATGGGTACTTACTACTCTTGCTTACGACTGAAACTATAGGGTTTGGTAGAGTCACCAACAGAGTGTCAATAGACCTCGGCTCTGTTCTGTGTGTAGAGTAGCGTTCTCGGTTTGTTTACATAGCCTCAGCTCCTCAGCTGGCCGATAGGGACGCCGAAACCCCCCTCCCCTGGATTTCACTATTCCCAGTTGGGAGACCCCTGCCTCGGAGATTGCGGAGATAGCCGGTCTCACAGTCCTGCTGAGGTCCCGCGAGCGTCGGACGATCAAACAACACACAAGCATGAGCTCTTCCCCCGAAGCGAATCGTGCGGGTGCCAGGTTGCCAAGAAGTCTACCACGTTGGAAGCAACCCTTCTCCATTGAGACAGATCTCGATGTTGTCCAGAAGCCCGCAGGGTCGTACAGCTTGAACAACTACACCTTCGAAGGGCAGCTTACCGCTGCCGAGGCGGCGGAAGAAGCAGCAGTTGATGTCGTCTCTGCTACTGGCACCGGTCCAGGCAGGCACCGGCTGCTGAATCCGTTCCCCCGGTTCGCCGAGCTGGTGCTGAAACTGCTCGAGGCTCCTGAGGTGGTGGAGCTCACGCTGCGAACGTACGTCCCGATGGGCAAAGCTGTCACGAAGGCTTTGGTTGCCGTGAGGCCGGTGGGGGACTTCGGCTTGCAAAATATGAACGCTGCGACGCTAAGGATGCTCTTCGCCGAAACATCCTCGGCGGCTTGCAGGCGGCGTCAACGAGAGAGAACGAGGCCAAGCACGGCGCCTGCGGTTGAACTCCCTCCCGACCTCGTGCGCATGGTGCGGTTCGAGTCCCTCTCGACTGTAGTGCTTCTGCTGTCTGCTGTAGGACACAACGGTGACTGTATGCAGATTTCATTTATTAGCATACGGTCAGCAGTGTAACGACATTTTCATGACCCCGCCGTATGTACATACCGTAAACTACGGAGTTTCCCCCCCCTACTACAGATTCCCCCCCCCCCCCATTACGCAACGGGGGATGATCGCACCACGTTGTGTTAAAATGGTCAAGCTTCCTCGAGGCAGTTACACAGTGCTTACAACTGTCTCTGGAAGTGAAAGCACCAGAAAATAAATTAAGTCATACGTAGCTGTCATCCGTACGCAAGGAAGTAAGCACAAGATGCCGAACACCCTTAGCAGGATGCAGCTCACCCTTCATGCGACTCGCCAAATACCTCACGGCGCTTCGCGCTTGGTGATGTGAGAGCCTGGTCCGGTGAGAACCCGGCGTGCTCCGTCCCGGCTTTGTAGGGATGCGAGGTCAATGGTCAAACGACTACGGCATGCACGACTATGAGTACACCCCCCCCCATTACCTTTTCGGCCTGGAAGCATCGTTTCGTTGATTTAGCCCCGGGGTAGCTCGTTTCGACCAAAAAAAAAAATCCCCCCGGGTATGTCAATTTCCCCCCGGGGTACAGTTTCCCACGAGTTTCCCCCGGGGGCGGTGTATTTCCCTTATTTTCTGAGTCGATTTTGTTGCATCGCGGAGCACAAAAAGCATGATATGGGACGGAAAATTCATTTGCAGATCTGACTTCGAGCGAGATTTAGGTGTACCGTTTGTCACTTGGCCCTCGCAGTTGTGTGGGTGAAATGCTCTCGTTTTCCTGTCTATTTCTTGCATTTATCATCCCTGGAGTCAGCTGAAACGTACAACAGCATGCTGACGAAACCTTGCGCACAAAGGGAACAAATAATCGTGTTCATTTTTGGATCACAACTCAAGGTAGAACCGAACCAAAAAAAAAATAGCTCATTCCTGCCGACAAACAGCGGACTCTTGTGCATGAGATTAGGCAATGGTACCACTCGTGCGACCCGACAAAAACCTTATCCATCTCAGTTTCGCCACTCTCTGTGTGTGTGTGTGGTGTGTGGACCATCATTTTTTTGCACAATCCCCCGGGGGGGGGCTCCCCCCGGGGTAGCGTTGGAAAAAAGAAACTAATCCCCCCCGGTACGTCAAATACCCCCCGGGGGGTTTGGTTTCAGAAAAAAAAACGATCCCCTCCCCCGGGGGGAAACTCCGTAGTTTAC